TTACAATATGTTAGGATTGGTTAGTTAAATTTCAGTAAAATGATTGGTTAAGGTATAGCTGAGAATATTACTATATAAACTGGGGTCAAACAGGACGTGGAGGAAGGGAAATTGGAATCATGTTTGCTAAGAGGGGGGAATGGGAAACAGGGACACAGGCAAGGCTCTGTGGCGTCAGAGCTGGGAAGGGGGACACGGGGTAAACGCTCTGCAGCGTCAGAGCTGGAAAGGGGGAAATGGGGTAAATGCTCTGTGGTGTCAGAACTGGAAAAGGGGACGTGGAGTAAACGCTCTGCGGCGTCAGACCTGGGAAGGGGGAAATGGGGTAAACACTCTGCGGCGTCAGAGCTGGGAAGGGGGAAATGGAGTAAACGCTCTGTGGTGTCAGCTGGGAAGGGGGACACGGGGTAAACGCTCTGCAGCGTGAGAGCTGGAAGGGGGACAGGGGGTAAACGCTTGGCAGGGGCGGGGCGGGAAGGGGGACATGGGGTAAACGCTCTGCGGCGTCAGAGCTGGGAAGAGGGACGCGGGGTAAACGCTCTGCGGCGTCAGAGCTGGGAAGGGGGATGCGGGGTAAACGCTCTGCAGCGTGAGAGCTGGAAGGGGGACACGGGGTAAACGCTCTGTGGCATCAGAGCTGGAAAGGGGACACAGGGTAAACACTCTGCAGTGTCAGAGCTGGGAAGAGAACACTGGGGAACAGACTCGATCAGCCTACAGAGATAAGCCCGGCTGGTGTGAAGGGCTTCGGAATATGCTTGCTTGAAAACTAACCCCAATAAACATCGCTTTGTTTGCACTTCAGACTTCTGGTCTTCTGCTTTCTGTCTACGTGATAAGAACCGGGGAGAGGGTGAAGGGAAAGCCCTCTAACAGTGCTCTCTCTACCTCCTCAATGGAGAAAGGCTGGAAGATGTCTTCCTCCCACCGAGTGGGCCAGGCTGTATCAGTATCATTCACATTTTACTCATTCCTCAAAGGGCTCATCCCTGTCAGCTTTTGCCATGTTCATTGAGTAGGTGGTGATGCTATTCGGGCACACTTTATGCTGCTGTATACTTGGTGATTTCTGTGTTACATTATTTGTGCTGTATGAAAGTTGGTTTCATTTGCCATTGGATATGTTAATGTCAAGCATGTCAGAAGCCCTGCAAAGGTTCTGCTTACCCTGTTCAGTTTGGTTTTGTGAGACATTGTGGCAACATGTTGTTCCTTGGGAAAATCAGAATATAAAATATTACTCTAGATACAGAAATAATTTTACAGCTATTGTGGCATAATATTTGTTTTATTATGCTGGCTTGTGGGCCCAGTTTGATTTCATGGACTTAGGTGCTGCCTACATTGTGGTTGTTTCTGCACTGCTGCAATGTGTTGACCTTTGTGTTGGAACAATTACATTGATATAGTTACACTGGTGCAAACTTTCCTAATCTAGATAAGCCCATAATGTCAAGGTCTGAATTGTCTTGAAATTGGTAACCAGTTAATACTAATAATGCCAATTTTTTACATAGCGCTTTTCATCAATAGATCTCAAAGTGCTTCAGTCTTTAATGTAGTTAGCCTCACAACACCCTTCAGAGGTAGGGGAGTGCTATTATTCCCATTTTACAGATGGGTACAGAGAAGCTAAGTGACTTGCCTTGATCACACAGGAAGTCCATGGCCATGTAGGGAATTGAACACGGGTCTCCTATAGTCTAAGGCAGTGCCCTAATTGCCGGACCATCCTCCTTCTAACACACTTAGATACACCTGTATCTTCTCTGTCTCTCACTTCTACGCTGCTAAATCCTACTCTCCTCTCTGCTGCCAGATTCACACCCTCAGTGGCCTCTTCTGTGTACTCTCAGCTTTGACGCAGCAGTGAGGCATCCACTCACAAGAGACTTTCTTCCTATCAGCAAGTGAGAGGATAAGGTCAAGATTTTCAAACGTGGGTGCCTAAAATTAGGCACCTGAAAAATTAGCCAAATTTTTCCAAGATGCTGAGCACCCCCAGTTCTGATTGACTTGTTAGGGGCCTGATTGAAAATGTTTGCTGAAAAGCCTTGCACACCTATGATAATTAAATAAGTTAATAAATGGGTACATTTCTCAACAAGGGTAAGAGATATCAACTGTGTTTGCTCCTAGAATCAGGGCTGAGGCCTACTGCATGTCATCTGCCATACCTTGGGATCAGAAGACAATGTAACAAACAGTGAACACTTCTGGGGTATATTTCCTCTGATAACCTCAGCAATCCCACTAGAATATGAAACGGAGCCTGAAGATGCTAACTGAGGCCCTGATCCTGTAGTATGTTCCTCACTGGCAGACCACTGTGGTTGTGCAGAGCCCTATTGACTTCAGCATGGAGAACATTTCAGGATGGAGACTTTAGATGTAAAGAGGTTCAACACAGATGGAAAAGGGGTGGGGAGGAAAGCAGGAAAATGAACTGCAACACATCTGGAACACGGATATCAAAGAGGAAAAGAATCAGTGGGTGAAGGTCTGTGACCTTTGTTCAGCAGGAGATCAGACGAGATGATCAATTGTCCCTTCTGGCCTCAAAGACAATGAATTAAAACTATTTGCAAAAAATGTGCATGTTAGCACAGTAGGGCAAAACTTTTCCTCGTCATCACGTGCCATTTGATTTGCTCAGGGGCTGCATACAGCACAGTTTTATTTATCATCAGCAGCAAGTTTTAGCCAATGAAAACTAAAGACCATGGCAATACTTTGATAAAGAGAGTGCTAGAATAATGCAGATAAATCACCCATTTGTTTAAGTTTCACCACAGTGCACTGTTCCTTTTTATCTCAGGTCAGTTCACAGAAAGCAGTCATCGTATACTAATCTGTCCCAAGTAAAGCCCTTGAATATATTCCTCTCTGCATTGTTCTAGCTTTCACGTGACTAGGGACAGGCGATTGTGTGTGGTGTTGGTGTTTTTTTTAATTGTAATGAATTCATTCAAAGGGAATCTTTCTCTTTGCTTTGGCTTTCAAGGGGTTAGCTCAATGCATTTCAATTTTTGGTTAATTATAGAAAAGTCCTTACATTGCTACTTTTGGGTAAAATCAGTCTTAAGTATTGGAATAACAACATAGGCCTCCGTTCAGCACAACCCCTAAGCCTGTGCTTAACTTTAAGTAAGTGCTTAAGTCCATTTCTTTTCAGTAGAGCATTTATGCACATCAGATGTTTTGCTGAATCCAGGCCATCAAGTTCAATATCTTGCTTCCACCAGTGGTAAATACATGGGGTGAAATCCTGGCTCCTTTCAAGTTAATGGTAAAACTTCCGCTGACTTCAATTGGGACAAGATTTTACGTCTGGTTCAAGAGAGAGCAAGGAAAAGCAAACAAAACACCAGTAAGTCACTTCGTCCGTTGCGTCAGTTTTTTTCCACCTCCGGTTCAAAATATAGTGTAGTTTTTGCAGTTCTACACTCGTCTTCAGCTTGTCTCGGATTGGAGAGAGATGTGGTGTCACTTTTTAAAATGTAGCATGAACAGGCAAAGATGATCACATAGCATGTGTAGTGCAGGGATGAAGGATGATTTTGTGGTTAAGGCATTGGACTGGGATTCAGGAGATCTGGATCCAGTTCCCAGGTCTGCCACCAACTTCCTGGGTGATCATGGGCAAGTCATTTCATCCCTGTGGGAATGGAGACTGCAGGAGTGAGCGTCCCAGCCTGAGTCGACAGACTTGGGCTGGCAGGGCTTGCACTAGGGCTCTAAAAATAGCTGTGCAGACAGCACTTTAAAGCCCCCACACCTAGGCTTGAGAGCCTGAGTTGCAGCTATTTCAAGTGCAAGCCCCACTAGTATGAGTCTGTGGATCCTGCCTGGAAGGGTCACTCCTGGATGCAGTGTAGACATAGCCCACGTGCTTAAAACAAAACAAAGCAAGATGCGAGTTGTACCTGGTTTCATTCTGGAACTCTTGCAAAGCTGCCCTTGCAATCCATAAACAAAACACAATGCATTTGAACCAATGGGCAATACAAAAAAACCCCATGTTGTTTTAAAGGTTTTATTTTCTTTTGCATACATAAAGTTAGTATACAATACCATGCCTGGGGCATGTATTAATGCAACTGTACGACACACCAGCATAGCTAGGCACTTCTGAGACAATTGTCTGTACTGACGGATATCCTCTGGTTATTCTTAGTTGTTTGTTTTTAACCCTATAGCATTTTAATGTGCAAGATAAAACATAAAGAATAACTATATCACTCTGTCCATAGCATCAGAAACGTCCCTTATCAATGAGAATTTCTACTCAGATTGGGCCTAATACAACTCATATTAAAGTTAATTGAAAACCTCTCCTTGCCTTCAATAGGAACTGGGTCAGACCCTGTGGCCCTGATTGAGCAAGGCATCCTGATTCTACAAAGCACGGAGGCCCCATTGACTTAATGGGACTTAAGCACTTGCTTTGCTGAACAGAGATGGTCTTGTTAGCGTGCTAAAGGTCTTTGCTGAATCAGGGCCTACATCAGCATGGGAGTGAGCTATTAAAGATACAGAAAAGGGATGGAGAAATGCTAAGCGACAATGTGAAAGCTGTGTTGAAAACTAGGGGTACAACTGCTAGCTTTAGCTCACCCCTTCAAGAAATCAAGTGGCAACTAATATAGAAAGGAACAGTAACACTTAAAGATGAACATGAAGATAATGTGCTCCACCTTGAGGTAGGCAGCCTGTTTCCATAACCGAGCCAAGGGGGCTAAAACAGCCATTCAAATACAAAAGTAGCACACCCGCCTCACCAAAATCTAGGGACTAACCCTCCCCCACTGTCAAAAATGAATTGCACACCACTGTCTTGGGTAAGAGTCATGAGACTAGGGTGACCAGATGTCCCGATTTTATAGGGACAGTCCCGATATTTGAGACTTTTTCTTATATAGAAGCCTATTACCCCCCCACCCCCATCCCGATTTTTCACACTTGCTGTCTGATCACCCTACATGAGACTTGGCTTCTTGTTACATCTCTGCTTCCTTTCCACTCTTCGGTGCAAGGTCCTCTGGAAAGATTCCTTGCTTAAGCTGTTTTCTAGCCCCCTGCAGGACACAAACAAACATTGAGCTGTTAAGCACACGTACAGTGTGGCACTGGGCCACTGGCAACAAGTTCATCAGCTTGTCTACCCAGCAGATACAAGGGAAGCAACAGAGCTGGGCAAATAGTGTAAAAATAATAGAGGGCCTGATTCACCCCTGCATTTGTCCAGTTTTCCATGAGTGGGAACCCACGGATTTCTTAAGGGAGGTAAGTGTTCAGATTTTTAAACAAACTATCTTTGACCAGTTTTGTGCCCTGCAGCTAATTCCAGCGAATGAGTTTTGCTGGCAGGAATATTTGCCGAAACAATGAATTTCAAGTGAATATTACAGAATTTTACTGGAAAGCAAATTTCAAATCATAATCAGGGAAGTATCGGCTTTTCATTGACCTAAAGAAATCAAATACAATTAATGCTATATAGATCATTAATTCCAGTGCTCCTGGAAATTGATTGAAATAGACTGCAAAATCTTCCATTCTGCAGCACTCCAGGAAAGGCTCTGTGAACTATGGATGGTCCAACAGGCACAATTTGATGTATGATGGTATATCCTATTGCTGCTGAAATGGTTTGACCTGGTTTGTATTTTTAGACTTACTTTGTTGTCTGACTGTTTTGCTGTTGATGGAGATTCTGATCGCTTGCCGTCCTTATTTGTTCTAGTTGAATTGGTGGTGGCATGTTGATTTGCTGCTGCCTTTTGAAACTTGACACCTTGGCAAAGAGAATATCAACTCATAGTCATCAAGGATTCCCAGATGGCTTACCGATTTTCTACCTTGCATCAATACATGCTCAGAAGGAAGGTTGCCATTGTCAGGTTCTTTCCATCCCTAATGTCTTGGGGGTGGTTCTCATTTTGGTACATTGTGAGTAGTCAGATTTGTTTTGTGACTAATATTGGCCTGCACTATAACTACTGCGGAAGTCCAGAATCTAGTCCAAGGTCAAGACTGCTCACATGTCTCTTCAAATGTGTTAAAGACAAACACTATCTGACCGTGCCGACGAAGCCATTATTACATCACTATCAAACCAGCAAGGAATGATCCATTTGGAATAATACTTTGCACTTACACTACCTGATCCAAAGACCCTTGACTTCAGTGGGAAGGCCCCTATGGATTTCAATGGGCTCTGGGTCAGATTCATATAGCACTTTTCACCTGTACATCTCAAAACACTTTACAAAGGTGGGTAAGCATTATTATCCCCATGTCACGGGTGGGGAGACAGAAAGGTTAAATGGTTTGCCGTGAACCAGTGGCAAGCTTGGAATTAGAATTCAGGATTCCGAACTCCCAGCCCTCTGCTTAAATCCCTGGGTGAGATGAGGCAAAACATGCTTACTCTGTTTCCAGGCATGTTCTGCAGCTTTCGGGGCTGTCAGCATGGCAAAAGGATGCAAAGAGAGGTTGAAAGGGTGAATCCAGTGACCCTGGAAGGACAATAACACTTAGAGGTTAATGAGAAATTGTACAATTGCTTGTCTATTTTATAGTCTTTACAGCCCTGAGTATATTATTACAAATTCCTGGTATTTTCCCTTGGATCTCGTCCATTTTTCCGAAATGTTTACTTCTGACTTTTCCCATCCTCTTTTGCCCTCTCCCAGTGGCTTGGCAGTGCTGATATCCTTTGTTAGATAACTCCTGTATCTCTTGGTTTAGGTGCTCTGTTCAGGGTCTGATTTTGTACCCATCACCGTGATATTTGGGAACCTTCCAGCAAAGAAGCGTGGAAAGACTTGCATATAAACAAAAAAATAGGCAGACAGAGGCTCTGACTATATTATTATCAAAGCAACTTTGCTACCGCATCACCAGCAAGAATCTATCCCTGAGCTACAGGCTACTCACTATTCAGAGACAGGTGTTGCTCCAAGCATCACAGCTAAATTCAGAGTGACAGCAGATGAGAGGAAAAACAGCATAACCGCTTCATCTGAAATCTCTCCTTGTCTCCATCGGAAGCAGATCAGGAGCTCCAGCCATGGGAATACCAACCAAAGGGGCAGCCCTATGGCAAATGGCATGAGCAGGCAAGTCGGGAAATCTGGCAAGAAAACCTGCTTTGACTGCTGCACGCTGCAGAGCCCCCACTTCGAAGGGAGGTACAGAGCTTCCCAGGCCGTAAAACAAACAGAACATCCCTGGGTCAAGTGGAACCCCTATCATACAACTCCCAGGAAACTCCACAAAACAAACCAGATGGAATTTCCATCCCCCTATGTTGGAACAACAAGAACGAGGGAATTTGGTCCATGTCACCTTTTTTCTACAGATTACGTGGCTGTGCCCGAACATAGCAGTAACCCTATCCAGACACCAGATGGCAGTCCATATTAATAAGGCCAGGCACGAATGATTTGTTTTATAAGTGCACCAGAGACATTGCTAATTATATGGTTTATTATAATCTGATTACAATTCCACAGTAACTTTGGCAGTTGCTTTGGTAACACTTACTTTAAGCCACACCAAGTATGTTAGAGCTACCTATAGACTACCGCAGGGTGCTGTTGGAACAGGCGGGAGCTTTCCTAATATTTTCAAAGTCATGAACTCAAGTCTGCAAAGACTGATTTTGAAGTACGGGAGCAATTACTAATGTAGGCCCAGATTTTCTCCTATGCTGAGGTCTGCTTAGCAGGGCCAACAGGGAGAAAGTTTTACCTCTGTGCATCTGTGCTGGCCCTGGCATACCAGCATAAACGAGAGCATCTCCGGGGCTGCTCTAATTTAGGCCAGCTGGCTGGGGACCCTATGGGACCTTGTTCCAGCGGTGAATTTTTATAGCCCAGGCACACGCTACCCTTCCCCCTCTGTCCTGGCACACCCTAACATGTCCCTTCCCTCCCACCCCCCCTGCCAGGGAGTAGAGGGAGCAGTTGGGGTAGGAGTCAGCTACCACTTGCTGCAAGCAGAGAGCTCTGCTATGCCGAGGGAACTCTACTTGGGCTACAGCTCTGCTGCTACTCGAGTCAGTGTTAACATTCCCATTGACTTCCCTTCAGTGGTGCAGGATGCTCCTGGTGCTGGGATCCTATCAGAGACACAAGCTATACAGGGTTGGTTGACACATGGCTGGAAGATCTATAATCAGAACTGATAAACTCTATATTAGATAGCCCTTTTCACAGATAGATCTCAGAGTGCTTCACGGATAGGGAAACTGAGGCACTGACTTGCCCAGTGTCACCCAGTAGGTCTGTGCTGGCAATGCTGTTGGCAAGTGGCATACTTTCCTTTTGAGTTAACAATAAATCCATATCAGCATGGTCCACTGTGCTCTCAGAAGTGCCATCTCAGAAAACCGAGGTCCTGGCCACTTGTGGCTATTAAAAATCACATCCAGTGACCTTTGTGGCACTGGTCTAGCAAAGCACTTAAGTACACGCTTAAGGTTAAGCACATGAATAGTCGCATTGAAGTCAGTGGGGAAACTCACATGTCTAATCTTGAGCATGTGCTGAAGTGCTTTGCTTTACTAAACCGCTAAGATTGGAGTATTACCTTAATATTCTAGCTTGGAAGCCAGGACCTAAAACCAGTGATGTCCACTGAATGCTTGTTGTCTGTGTTGTACATACAGTAGCTCAGTTACTGAGTTACTCAGTTACTAAGAGAACACATTCAGATCTATCTGGTGTCTTTTGGTATCAAGTCCTGCGCAGACAAAATAGATCAATTTTCTTTTTCTGTCCTTTAGCCTGGGGATTATCTTCAGCTGATGCGCAGAGAAAAAGTACAGGAGAAAGAGACAATTGGCTCCCTCTCGGGAACAAGACCAGCTCCCTGAAGGTCAATTACGTAAACACAGAAAGCTTTTATATGTTGATGCCAGTCTTACACTGGCGCTTTGTTGTTCACTTTAGCTGGTGAGGTCCCCTCTCAGGGAAACTGGTGAACACTGAGTTCTCTTTCTCTCAGAGTCCTTTATGCCAGATAAGAAAGGGAAGTTTATAAGATTGGTTTCTTAGACAGGAGATGGTCCAGTGGTTATGGTACTAGGCTGGGACTCGGGAGACCTAAATGTAAGTTCCTAGTATGCCACAGTCTCTCTGTTCCTCATCTGTAAAATGGGTATAATGGCACTTCGCTATCTTATACGGGTATTAAGTGAGCTGCTCAGGTACTATGGTCACAAGCGCCAGCTTCTAATTTTCCCCAGGGGTGCTCAACTCCCGCTCAGCCCCAGGACCCGCCCCAACTCCAACCCTTTCCCCAAGCTTCCACCCCTGCCCCGCTGCTTCCCTCCCTCGCTCCACTTCTACCACACCTCTTCCCCACCTCTTTACGCCCTTTCCTCCCAGTGCCTCCTGCATGCTGCTGAACAGCTGTTCCGTGGGAGGCACTGGGATGGAGGGGAGGAGTTGATTGGTGGTGGCCACAGGCGGGAATGGGGGGAGGGAGGGGAGCTCGGCTGCCGATGGGTGCTAAGCACCCACTAATTTTCTCCGTGGGTGCTCCCGCCCTCGAGCACCCACGGAGTTGGAGCCTATGACTATGGTAATAGGGGGGCACATAAGTACATTAGATCAAATACTTTTTTCATTTTCAGCAGTGTTTTTAACTACTTTATTTTTGTTACCGAAACTTTAACTGAAGTCACTTTTGAAATTTTCCATTTACGATAACAGGCAATGAGAAAACAAGGTTTTAGGTAAACAGAAATTTTTAGATAAAAAAGTTAGTCAAAAATATCACCAAAAATTTCATGGAAAAATTGTATGTTGACGATTTTCCATAAAAACATTCATTTTTAAAAAAAGGCCATTTTTGGATGAAAAACATTTTGTGCCCAAAATGTTGACGCTCTCTAGGCTCAGACGCGTGAGTGCATCTGAGGAGAGTTCCACCAGGTAACGTGAGGACTTAATTGGCTTCATTATTTTTATCTTCCATGGAGAAAGGCTGAATAACTTAGGCCTGGTCTACACTAGGAAATTAGAGAGGTATAACTGTATTGCTCAGGGGCGTGAAAAAGCCACAGCCCTCAGCGACGCAGTCAAACCGATCTGACCCCCAGTATAGATGGCGCAAGGTCGGTGGGAGGTCGATGGGCGACTTAGCTACCACCTCTCGGGGAGGTGAGACTTCATCTGGAATACTGTGGCCTGGTCTACACTACGACTTTAATTCGGATTTAGCTGCGTTAATCCGAATTAATCCTTAACCCGTCCACACAACGGAGCCAGTTACTTCGAATTAAAGGGCGCTTAAAATCGATTTCTGTACTCCACCCCGACGAGCGGAGTAGCATCAAAATCGATTTTGTAAATTCGAATTAGGGGTAGTGTGGCCGCACACCACCGAATTAATGTGGTTAAAATTAATGGGGTAGTGTGGCCGCACACCACCGAATTAATATGGTTAAAAACCGAATTAATGTGCTTAGTGTGGCCGCGCACAATCGAATTTATACAATCTGTTTCCCAAATTCGAATTATCTAAATTCGAATTAATCTCGTAGTGTAGACGTACCCTGTGTGCAATTCTAGTCTCCTATGTTTAAGAAAGACGAATTCAAACTGGAACAAGTGCGGACAAGGCCTACTAGGATGATCAGAGGAATGGAAAACCTACCTTGTGAGACGAGACTCAAAGAGCTTGGCTTGTTTAGCCTCACCAAACGAAGGCTGAGGGGAGATATGATTTCTCTCTATAAATATATCAGAGGGATAAATACCAAGGAGGGAGAGAAGTTATTTAAATTAAGTGCCAATGTGGACACAAGAACAAATGGATGTAAACTGGTCATCAACAAGTTTAGGCTTGGAATTAGATGAAGGTTTCTAACCATCAGAGGAGTGAAGTTTTGGAACAGACATTCCAGTGGGGGCAAAAAACCTAACTGGCTTCAAGTCTGAGCTTGATAAGTTTATGGAAGGGATGGTATGATGAGATTGCCAACAATGGCATGTAGCTGATCTGCGACTGCTAGCAGCAAATATCTCCAACGGCAAGTGATGGGACACTAGATGGGGTTACGACAGCAAATTCTTGCCCAGATGTTTGGCTGGTGGATCTTGCCCACATGCTCAGGGTCTAACTGATCAAAACATTTGGAGGTCAGGAAGGAATTTCCCCCGGATCAGATTGGCTTGGGGCATGGGTCACTTGCAGATTTAAATGAGTGTAAATGGTGGTTTCTCTGTAACTTGAAGTCTTTAAATCATGATTTGAGGACTTCAATAACTCAGCCCGAGGTTAGGGGTCTACTAGGAGTGGGTGGCGGAGGTGCTGTGGCCTGCAATGTGCAGATCAAACTAGATGATCATGATGCTCCCTTCTGGCCTTAAGGTCTATGAAATGGATTATCTCCTGTGACAGGAGAAGCCCTCCTATTGGCCTAGTAGGGAATATCTTCCTGGAAGCGCAGTGGCGCAGCTGCAGTATTTTCAGTGTGGACAAACTTAGTGGAAATGCATTTACT